GCGTACCTACTCGTATACTATTCATGGGTGTACATGTAGGTTAGGTTAATTCCTGCAGATACGTATACATAGCACATAGGTAAACGGTAGGCGAATGAGGTTAGGTTAGGTTGGGTATGTACTACACAACCAGTACGACGCAGAACTACGTACGGCTGGAACGTTGGATCGTTCGCTGCCGGTAGCAACGACCCTGGATGCATCGACTCCTGGGGTTGTACGTTGGTATGGGGATGGCCAGGGGTAGGTTCGCTGCCACCGACGGGGTGGGAGGGAGGGAGGGAGAGTCGACTACCCTTTGTGCACCATCTCTTTCGCGCTTCTAGGTTAACGTCTTTCCTTTTCTCAATTCGCTCTCTCTCTCTCTTACCTGCTGTACGTTCTATCATTTATGTTCTCTCTCTCTCTCTCTCTCTCTCTCTCTCTCTCTCTCTCTCTTTTTCACCCTTGCTCTCTTTCTCACCCCTTGGTAACATTCTCCGCGACCCTCCGTCCTGACGCCAGCGCCTCTTTCTCTTCGTCGACTCACCGTCATCCCCTAGTCGTTCCTTTACCCCTCGCCCTCTCGACCCTTCCTAGCCACCTCTCCGCATCCCTCTACCCTTGTGCTTCTTTCGTCTCTCCACACTATTGATCCCGCAGCATCCACCGCGAAATAACGGTGTACGCCGCACTGCTGCTAGAAGAACGCCGGTTGGTGCAGCGTTGCAATTTTTTCTTGGAATTATTGTTGACTTTTTGAGGGGATTTTAAAATTTTGAATTTTATGGTTTCAATGGGTTTTTTATGAACGGGAGAGGGGGTGTACAGGTTTCTGTGGCGTTTGCAGAGACTGGGGGCGTATTGTGCGTTTATGTGGATATGGGGAATAATTTTGATTTGTTCGTTTGGTAGAATTGGATTTTTATTGGTTTTAGGATTGCCAATGATTTTATTATTTGAATTGGATTCTTGATTGTTGGATATTTTTGTTATTCAACGCAGGGAGTAGATTGGGGATGGATGTATGCGGCGATTTTGCCAATCAGTGGATATGTTAACAATAATATTGAAAATTTTTAATATTTCGAAATTCCTGCCTATTTTCACGCTCGAAATTCAATTGGTTAATTGGCATCCACAGCTGACTTGGAAACTATACAATTTTCGTAATATTACAGTAGAGTCCGGTTATTACGACTCCGCTTATTATGATTTTACCGCATATTGCACCCTACTTGCTGCCTTAAGTTTATTAGAATATAATTATATCCTTGCATATTTTTATTTTCCTTATTACGTCGCCCGTTCAGTACGATGTCTTTTATATGTCCCTCGAATGTCGTTATAAACGCACACCACTCTAACTCCAAACGAAACCCCTGCGATTTGCGTATGAGAATACTGGAAACGCTGAAAAAAATATTGCATACAAAAACAATTAAAGCGGTAGTCCTTAAAGACTTTTTCAAAAGTACACAAGATTCAGCAGATATTCCCCCAGCCTTACGAAATAAAAGAACAAGATTTTGCTCCTTCAAGTCAATTAGCTATCAATCCTAACCTAACCTAATACACTTTAACCACACTTATCAAATCAACCTTTCGCACGTAACCTAACCTAAAAGTGGGACAAAAAATATTTAAAAAAAGCCCACAAACAAGATAAATTCCAAAATTCATGATTCATCATGAACAAGAATCTACATTGTTCCAGAACATACTAGTAGGTACAAGCCGTTGATATTTTTTTTATCATCCAAAGTTGGCTAACTGGCATGGGCCTTTGGTCTTTACGACGGTTGACAAATTAGCATAACAGGGAATCGACCCAATCCCAAAGAGGGAGGGAGGGAAGGAGGGGAGGTATCCCTTCGAGTTCTCAACATGAGATTGAAACTCCCCATAGCAAAAGACCCCGTCTACAGTGCTAGTTATAAGTGTATGATACACAGAACACCTATTACACGCATCTATCACACAGAAATTTTTGTCTCATGATAAAATAGCACAGCGGTGATAGATAGGCAAATATGAAAATAGATTTATCCTCGAGCCTATCGACTGAAGTGCAGAGTTCTTGAATGGACTGTGCTCCCTTGGCAATAGGTTAATAATAATAATAATACAGTTCTCATTGAACGAAATTATGAGGTTGTATGATAAAAAAATTGATTATCAATTTTTCAAAACCATCCCCCGTGTAAAAAAATTTTGAATTCATCACGAAAAGCATTTCTTTTCTTGTTTAAATTTCTGTCCTAATATTATTCATGCAGAATCGAAAGATCGAGTGAATAAATAAGCTTAGGGGTTGATTCGTTATTCTGGGATTTTAAGGGTTGCGAAGCACTGTTCCTCTTGAAGAGTAAAGAGGTACGACGTAATAGGGTTGTTGATCTGCACAATCGGAAGTTAATTAAACATCCGGTTCCTGAAGAAAGATGGGGGCGGAGGACACTTGGTTTTCCTTCTTTTTTAGGGGTGGTTTGCATATCCTTGGATGTAAATAATGAGAATCGGCAATCGGAACGAGTTCAGATAATTTATAAGAGGCGGGTAGATATCCCGGGCTGCTGCCCGCGGCTCTGCCACGAGGGTGGATGTCGTGCGCGGGGGGTGGGTGGAGGGGGGTGCTGTCGGTAGGGGATGGCGATGGCTGGAACGGCTCGAGAGCCGGTTGCAAGCGGACAGGGCTCTACGCCAGGGGTGTACCCACTTCGGTGCATCAAGGGGTGGTTTCTCGCTGGGGTCAGTGCCCTCCCGTAACATTGAACCACCCCGTGGTGCAGTCATGGGCGAGTGTAACGCGCATGTGCCATGCCCTCCCCAACTACACCCCGAGTACACCACCCACAACCACCCTACACCATCCCTCTCGGTCCTTTACTCCTCTCGTTAGAAATATCACCCTACTATTTCCACCCCCCCCCCCAAATACCACTGTCTTATTTTTCCTCTTTTTTTCATCCCCCTTATCCTACAACCCCTTTGTCATTAGAACGCCAAAACAGTACACCCTCCTTTTACCGAGGAAACTTTACCTATTTACGGTAAGGAATTTACCATTTGTCCTCTGCTACGTCATCCATCGTCAACCCTTTCAGGCTGGTGGACAGTGGAAAAACATCCCTCTGGTCTTCCTCTTTATTTTTATAGAAAAGAAGGAAAAAAAGGGATGCGGACATGGTTCCCTTGATAACTTGTGGACCAGTGATGGATACAAGAGTGTTATTAAATCTGGCATTATGCCTTGAGATTCATACAAGTTTTTATTAGCCTATTACAAAGCCCTTCTTTCGTAAGGGATGATTTTGTATTATCATTTCGATTTAATAATCAATTACTGGATTGCATTATTGTAAAAATATACTTAACTGTGGAAATAAAAATTATTGCTCTAAGAAAAATTTATTACGGATCTGCCAGTGATGTTAAATTTTATCTCCATCTATATGTTGCAGGGATCGGAAATCAGGACGAATCCAATGAGCCATCATCCTGATCGTAGGTAATGGGGTACGTACGACTTCGAGGGGGGTGATGACTTTCTATGAAAATCCACGTGCGGAAATTGACGTGGCGTCGGAAGGTGCTAGTAAGGGGTATAACGTGGTGGCCGAAGATGGCGAGGAGGGTGAAAACGAGGATGAGGGTTGTGAGGATGGGTGATATAGGGTGGGAGAGTAGAGGGTGTGAACTAGCAGTACCGTGCAACGAATGGAAATCGATTCCGAGTCTGGGTCAGGCAAGGGCGTTCACCCCTTGTGCAGCCCGGGAGGCACACGGAACCACGGTCGTAGCTAGGGTTTAGAAGAGGATGCTAGAGAGAGGTTGTTGCACGATGGGGGATGAACGGACCCGGATGCTGGGATATTTACTCCCTGGCGAAACCAAGGACTGTCCCAAATCGAGGTCCTTCCGTAGCCACAGCCCTTGGACCTGGTGCCTGGGATATCTCGTGGTTGCTATATTTAATCCTATGCACATCCTGGGTCCAGGATGAGGTGAATCATCGGCTAGTGGATGACCTTCTCGCACAGGATAACAGCACTGGGGAAGCTGTGGTATCTGCTAAGGGTGAACGCACTACCTTGATACCACGAGGTCAGCTTAACTGTAGTGCTTTGTAGGATTATCGGTTACCTGGCCATGAGAATTTCACCTTATGGGGTGTAGGTTAAATTGAGTTAGGTATAAGATGATCATAATTGTCATGATCGGCGTTGGTGGGTTCAGTGTGCCTGATTGTATGCAACCCGATCTACAGGAATGCTGAAAGGGAATCAATAGGGATCTATTATGTGGGGAACTTCGTTTGGCTTGGAACCCGAATAGGATTATGTTTATAGATAGGATACTAATATGCATAGATAGGTTTGTGTAGTGGTTGAAGATAATGCATGTCATTAGATTCTATATTGTGAAGTAATACTTGAACGGTTCATATCGAGAAAGTTACGTTATATATATTAATAGGGAGTAACTATTGCAGGAAGGATTTTAGGAGATTTATTCATCGAAAAAAGAAAATGGAATATATTAGATTTGGGGCAATTGCAGTTTTTATTTTTACCGACTGGGTTATTCGGTCGGTAATACTTTTTTTTTTATTTTCTTCTTATAACTGAAGATAGTTTGGAAATTTTTCTATAAATAGTGCAATTTGATGTCATAGGATTTCTTAAAAATGTATACAACTTATTGTCATCGATTGTAGGTATTTCAATTTGCTTCTTTACCTACTATGGGTATATTCGAACATCTCTGTAATTGTTGGATAAATATTGTATATACATTTATTATTATTATTTACTACTCGTTAATCCCAATAGTGTATAATGCAAGTTTATTCATTATTACCTTGGACTAAAAATACTTATTCTTTTAAATTCTATTTTTACTACTACTTTGATCAATTTACTTCGAGAATTCGGTATATCTAATCGTAATAAATAATAGAATAAATTATAAGTTAGACCATATAAGGAAGGAGAATTGAAAGAGGAGCGAGGTATAGATACGAAGATAAGGAATGCTTTTGCTTCTCTGATAATTATATACAGTAGAATTACCACAATTGAGATTTTATTATATCGTATTTTTCTTTTCTTTCACTCATATTGTGTAATCGTAAGCAAATCAGCAATAAGCACATATAAACAGGATAAGTAAGGTCGCATGTTGTTTGACTTTTTTATATCAAGGAACTGATATTTCACAAAACTAAGCAGTCAACTGGTATCAGTGAACTTGGTAACATTGCTTTTATATAAAGACTCGTATTTCTTTAGTAATTATAAATGTTGAAAATCTGTACAAAGTGTAAAAGATTGTTAGAATACTAATAAATTATGACGAACGTATTTTTGAACTCTCCTCCAAAGGGATTGGAAAAGGAGTTCAATGTTTTATTCACTTCTGAAGCTATTGAATTTCTGACAGAACTAGTTATACAATTTGACAGAAAAGTTGAGGAACTATACAGCACACGATTAAGTAGAAAGTGCGACTTCAAAAATACTCCAAAAATACCAAAGTTTCTTAAATCAGAGATAACACATCAAGAGTGGAAAGTTGCTCCAGTTGGTAAATACACTTTGTTATTGTGAAGCATGCTGTAGTATAATGATTGACATATTAGTACCTGCAATGAAATCAGTAAGATTATTTTGCTGGATCATCAGCAGACATTTATTCTATTATTTAATAAAATGATTTCTTCCATAGGAAAGAGGCTTCAGAATCGACATTTGGACTTGGGTGACGTCAGTCCAACAAATTATGAACACTTTACTGCTGCGCTATGTGCAGATGTTCAAGGAATACAAGTAGATTTCGATGATGGTCATTGTCCATCATGGGGAAATCAAATTGCTGGATTGTTTAATGTTTACCAAGCTGTACATAATCAATTACCAAATGTTCCACTGATTCAGAAAGCTCCTATTCTTATGCTGCGTCCAAGAGCATGGAATATGTTAGAGCACAATGTAACCATAAATGGAAAAGAAATCCCAGGACCATTGTTCGACTTTGGTCTCTTATGTTTCCATAATGCTGAAATCTTATCTCAGTATGATTCAGGTCCATTTTTTTACTTATCTAAGATGGAAGGCTTTAACGAAGCGCATTTGTGGAATGATATTTTCACATGGACGCAATTACGTTTAAGAATACCATACGGAACGATCAAAGCTTGTGTATTAATTGAAAATATTCTATCGTCCTTTGAAATGGAGAGTATCCTCTTTGAGCTACGAGATCATTCTTTAGGACTAAACTGTGGAATATGGGATTACGCAGCATCCATTATCAATAAGTTTGGCAGTGATGCAGCGTTTGTTTTACCTGACCGCAATAAGTATGTCAATATGAATAGACATTTTTTAAAAAAATACATGGAGCTTGTCGTGAAAACATGTCACAGGAGAAAGGCCCATGCAACAGGTGGCATGGCAGCTCTGTTGCTTCCGGCAGACAAGAACTCCAAAGAATATAAATCGGTTATTGACAAAGTTACTGCAGCAAAATTAGCAGAAGTTAGAGCTGGTGTTGATGGTTTTATGGTCTATGATTTGGGCTTAGTGCCCAGTATCAATCAACTGTGGAAAGAATATGGTGGACCGTTCCCTAATCAAATTTCATATCCTGGAATTCCTATAGAAATTACCGAAGCGGATTTACTGAAGTTGCCTAAGGGTGGTGTCACAATTAATGGCCTTCGGCATAATATATCTGTAGGCATTCTCTTTATATTCAACTGGTTAAATGGCAAGGGTCATTTCCCCTACAAAGGTTCTGTAGAAGATTCAGCTACAGCTGAGATATCAAGGTCTCAAATTTGGCAATGGATTCGACATGGTGCACAAGTGGAAGACAGTAATGAAATTGTTACAAGGCAATTGGTAAATAATTATGCGACAGATGTCATAAAACCTCTTGCAGAGGAGTATGCTAAGACTACTCAAGAGAAGATCAAACTCTTTGAAGCATTTGACGTTTTTCTTGAAATAGTGAATCATAGAGAATTCCCAGATTTCTTAACAACATATTTAAATGATGAGCACATAGTCAGAAAAGCCCATGCTAAGCTATAAATCCAATATTACAAAAAAATAAATACAAAACATGGTAATCAATGAAAATATATATCTTGTAAACACCAGAACTGTTTTTCATATTAAAAAAAATTTTTATAAAATATAGTAATGTTCGTTCGTTCCTCTTTCTGTGAATGCTTTCACTTGTATAATAAATTTTTATTATTCGATTCACTCTACAATAAGTGCTGATTTGCAAATTAAAAAATATTTATATGAAACATTTACCTTATTGTACAGAAACAATACGTAACAAACCTGCATCGAAGTTCTAAACGGTTCATATTCCATAAGCAGTGCGTTATACTGTAGTACCTTCATAAACGTTTTCTAAGAATAACCCTTATTTCCTTCGAAAGTGCAATAAAATAACAGGTACAATTAGTAAAATTAATTTATCTAAAACGACTCTAAATAACCGTACTGTCCGGAAATTATATTTGTTCATAGTCTTTTTCTTGTTGCACTCTTTCTCGTTTGCGGGTTTTAATCCCGTTTAAGTTCATTGGATTAGGACCGCTGCAGAATAATAGCAATTTTCCTTCGATTTTAAAAGGAAAATGTTTCCTGAATTATTCTTAATAAATATGCTAAATCTGTCATTTCAAAAGTCTCACGCGCGCAAATTTGTATTGTACTGCACTTAAATGCGCATGTGTTTCAAGATGCGGAAATATTTTTGTTTACTGTTACAAGTGTATTACGAGAGATGAGTAGGGAGATGAACAACGCTACGATTTTAGGCGATACCAAAATTATGGCGCTAAATCGTAGTGGCGAGTCTGGAAGTAGGATCATGTGATCATCGTCTCCGTCGACAATGCCAATCCCGTTATAGCCGAACTCTTAAGAAGAAGAAGGAAGAGAGAAGAAAAAAATCAGTTGCACAGAAATATTTAAAATCCGAAAAATTGAATAAAGCTTTCCAAATACTATTAAATATTATTGGATCTTGATTTACTTTCAAAAATTATTCAAAATATAAAATTGATGCTAAAATTGATTGACAGAGAAAATAGAGCATAGCTGAAAAGAGGTGTAGCAGCATAAGGGTGGAGGAGAAGGAAAAGGATACTGTTATAATGGAGGAGAGTCAGAGAGAGCCAGAACTCACTCGTACTCTGGGATATTCGCATAGGGCAAAAGAATATCAAAGTGTATAAGTGTTACAAGATAATTTATTGGATAAATGCAATAATTATACAGTATACGAAGTACAGTTGTACATATATAGTCCGCGAAAGATTAGTAATATTAATGCCATTATAAATATATTAAAATATATCACTACAATATAATATACTTGTGGTATGTTACATGCGCTACCCACTTTGAACTTTTCTTTTTTCAAAAGACATTTTAAAAACTTAGTTTTTAAGGATATATTAGGAGGAGAGTGATGGAGATGTACGAAGGAATAGGAGATTCAAAAAGTGTATAAGTGTTAGAAGATAATTTATTCGACAAATGCAATAATTATACAGTATACAAAGTACAGATGTACATACATCGTATATGGCTTGCGAAAGATTAACAATAACAGTTCCATTAGAGATATACTACATATAGCACTACAATATAATATACTTGTGGTATGTTACATGCGCTACCCACTTTGAACTTTTCTTTTTTCAAAAGACATTTTAAAAACTTAGTTTTTAAGGATATATTAGGAGGAGAGTGATGGAGATGTACGAAGGAATAGGAGATTCAAAAAGTGTATAAGTGTTAGAAGATAATTTATTCGACAAATGCAATAATTATACAGTATACAAAGTACAGATGTACATACATCGTATATGGCTTGCGAAAGATTAACAATAACAGTACCATTAGAGATATACTACATATATCACTACAATATAATATACTTGTGGTATGTTACATGCGCTACCTCTTCAAACTTTTCTTTTTCCAAAAAACATTTTAAAAACTTAGTTTTTAAGATTATACTAGTAGGAGAGTGTTGGAGAATAGGAAGGAATAGGAGATTCGAAATTTGAGTAGAAACATTTGATGGCAGCAGACAGGGAAGATGTTGTTGAAGAGGAAAAGAGGAAGATTGTTAAAAAGAAAGAGAGAAGAAGGGAAATGTTTATGACTGAGGGAACAAGGGGAGAAGAAGATGCGTAAAGCGTATGCACGAGGACCAGATTATTCTGCAGGAGCGAGGAAAGAGAACAGTGGAAAAGTAGAAAGTATAAGGGAGCGAAATAGGCCCCACCCCGCCTATTTCCGTGAGGCCCTGCCTCTCCTGAAGGGAGCTACGGCCCCTCCGAGGCCCTACAAAGCGAAACGAGAAGAAAGAAATGAAGATAGAAATAAAGAAGTGGAGGAGTAGAAAAGTAAGGATTAGAGTTATAAAAGTAGAGAAGAAATGAGAAAAGAGATTGAGAGCATTACCTTCAATAGAAGCGTCACGAAATCAAAATCCAGATTTCTGCAGATATTGCAAGAGAATAGGACACACAATAGATGCTTGTAGGCAGAGACAATTTGCGAATGATAGATATGGTCAGGTAACAAATTCGGGAAACGAAAACGGGGCTCCTGGGCAGAGTGCACCACAGGGAACCCCTGGATATCAGAACCAGCACTCGGCAGTAGTCACCTCGATTCAAGAAGTGATTCCGGAATAGCTCGTGTAACCACTATAAATCTGAATCACAAAAATAGTAGTGCAACGGTGAAATTAATATTCGAGGAAACCCCTATACCTGTAACTTTATTACTTGATACTGGAGCTGGACCGAATCTGATAAAAGAAAGTGCTGTTATTAATGGAATTCCAGTTTATCGTGAGGAGATCCTACATTTGAAAGGAATAACTCCTGAGGTAGTGCAAACTCTTGGCAGAATTAAAATGAACATCTTAGGTAGTGAAGCCGTGTTCCATCTAGTTCCAAATGATTTTCCTATATTACAATCTGGTCTTTTAGGAGATGAGTTTTTCAATCAAGTACCCGCCATAATTGATTATAAACAACAACAGTTAGTATTGCCCAACGCAATTGTTCCATTTGAATCGCGAGGAACAATTACAGTTCCAGCAAGAACAAAAAGTATGTTCTATGTAAGAGTAGCTAATTCTGATGAAAAGGAAGGATATATTCCCAAGTTAAATGCTGGGAAAGGAATATATTTAG